TGACCTCGACTTTTTACCTCAGTGTGTCTCTTTGTTTAATTCCGAACAACTTTGCTTCATAATGTCATAGCGAAATGTTCACCAGTGAAAAGCTACAAAATTTGACCTTGACCCCTGACCTGATGACCTTGACCTTTGGTCAGTTGACTCCTTGTTTAATCCTGATCAACTTTGCTTCATAACGTCATAACAAAATGTTTATCAGTAAAAAGATGCCAAATTTGACCTTGACCTTTGAACCTAATGACCTTGACCTTTGACCTTGACTTTTAACCTCAATGTGTATTTTTGTGAACTGAACATCTTGACCAAGTTTCATGTACATCGGTCAATAAATACTAAAGTTATCAGCCAGGAACAAAATTTGTGGACGGACAGACAGACAGACAGACAGACAGACAGACAAGGTGATTACTATAGGGCACCCGTATCTCAGATACGGGGCCCTAATAAACACTGTCTGGTAACAATAAGCACTGTCTGGTAACAATAAACACTGTCTGGTAACAATAAGCACTGTCTGGTAACAATAAGCACTGTCTGGTAACAATAAGCACAGTGCTTTGTCTCAAGGTTTGTCCCCACACTATCAACTTGAAATTGATAATTTAGTTCTGTTTAATGAAATTAGTTTTGTAGCATGACAAAGTAGTTATATAAACATGAAATCCAAACAGATAGGATATTATGGTACCCACATAAAACCTTTATAAACAAGTAATATCTTCTGTCCTCCAGTCTATTGTTGTCCGTTCCTTCTCTCTCCATCTGACTCAAACCTCATGAAATATGCAACAATGTTTTAGGGCTGCTTATGAGATGACAACTCATGCTGTGACGCTTAGAAGTAAGCACCTTCAACTTGAGTTTATTAAAAGTTCACTAGGTCACTTACCTGTATAGGGGAAGGCTTTGTGAATTTTTGGGCGTATATTGTGTCAAGGATTTCAGCTAAAAATAGAAATTGAACAATATTAAATCTTCCATGCATCATTACATATTAAGGAATTCCCATTCACACATCCAGTGTTGGAATGTTTGTTTACAGATCCAATGACTTATGTTTGTGTTGGAATATTTATAGTTCCACTGTCTTACTCTTGTGGTGAAATGTGTGTACATAGATTCAATGACTTCTAGTGGTGTTGGAATACTTGTTCATAGATTCAATGACTTCTAGTGGTGTTGGAATACTTGTTCATAGATTCAATGACTTCTAGTGGTGTTGGAATACTTGGTTATAGATTCAATGACTTCTAGTGGTGTCGGAATACTTGTTCATAGATTCAATGATTTCTAGTGGTGTTGGAATACTTGTTCATAAATCCAATGACTTGTGTTCATGTTGGAATGCATGTTCATAGATCCACTTACGGTAATGCTGAAATGCCTGTTCAAATGTCTGAACAGGATTAGGAACCCGTCGGTCACCGTCCTTACTAAGGTCCATCACTATAATGTTGTTATTGTCTTTCCTGTAAACATATCAATAGCTTAAAGCTCCTTTGTAAGTTATTGTTGACATTCAGGAGAACACTAAGGCTATAATTAGTTTTACAAAACTTTGATCCAGATTTTCTCTCACAGAATCATCTCATATATTAAAGCACAAATCATCTATCTGGGGCAACATGTTCAGAGATATTTTAGGACTTTCCTCTGACCCTACTACCAGACCCGACATATGTTGACAATTTGATGTCTGATTAAGCCTAAAATCTTCTGACCCTACAACCAGAACTAAGATAGGTTAAAACCAGAATCTTGTGTTGTCTGAATATCCTATAGACCTATTTGCAGACTGGTGATAAATTCACATTTAGATGTCCGGGGCAACACCTCTCTTAGTGTTATGTCCCTTTTTGATATGAAAATTCTTATGGCAACAA